TATGAAGCAATTGTGAACGAGTTCAAAAGTCTGTTGAAAAATGACACGTGGGATATAGTTGAAAAACCATGTAATAAAAACATTATTGACTGCAAAATAGTGTTAGCGAACAAATTTAATAGTCGCGGTGAAATAAATAAGAGAAAAGCTAGGTTAGTAGCAAGAGGTTTCAATCAGAAAAAGGGATATGACTATGATCAAACATTTGCACCAGTTGCTAGACTAGAATCTTTCAGAATGTTAATCGCTTTAGCAGTACAATATAACCTAATAATACATCAAATGGATGTAACATCCGCTTTCCTAAATGGAAAGCTAGATGAGGAGGTTTACATGGAAATACCTGAGCTGTTGGAAGATTCTTTATGTTGCATAATAGAAACAGAAAAGGGGGATATAAAAACAAAGCATTATTGATGTTAAAGAACATACAGAACAAAAATAGAAATTGTTGTAAACTGAAAAAGGGGTTATACGGTCTAAAACAAGCGAGTCGTCAGTGGAACATATTATTAGACTCTAAATTAAAGGAACTAGGTTTAAAACAGAGTAATTCTGATCCGTGTATATATTTCATTAAGAATAAGGAAACATTTATATTAATTTTAGTATACGTTGATGACATGTTAATTGCGGGAAATAATGTTAATAAAATTGCGGAAATTAAAGAAGGACTCAAAGAAACGTTTGAAATCAAAGATATGGGAGAAGCAAACTATTGCTTAGGGATAGAAATTTTGTGAAAAGGAAATGTAATTACATTAATTCAAAGAAAATATATTAGAGATATATTAAATAGATTTGAAATGGAAAATGCAAACAGACTAGATACGCCTGCAAACATTAATGAAACTTTTCATTCAGATATAGGAAGCTGCGAAGCACCTTATAAAGAACTGATTGGTGCATTGATGTACCTGGTCGTAGTGTCGAGGCCAGATATAATGAACAGGGTTGTATTTTTGGCACAATTTGCATCAGCATACAACAAAGCACATTGGATCGCTGCAAAGAGAATTTTAAGATATCTCAAACAAACAATTAACCTTTAAAGTACCAAAGAGGGAATTTTGAAATAATTGGGTATGCTGATGCAGATTGGGGATCCGATGCAATAGACAGGAAATCATATACTGGTTATGCATTTGTAATGTGTAATGCTGCGATCTCATGGAAATCGCAAAAACAAAGAACAGTAGCGTTGTCATCAGCAGAAGCTGAATACATGGCAATTGCTGAAGCCGCCAAGGAAGCAATACACATTAAAAACTTTCTTGAAGAACTTGGGTTAGACATAAACATCAAAGTATTTAATGATAATCAAAGTGCGAACCTGCTCACAAAGGATGCGGTATTACATGCAAGATCTAAGCACATAGATCTAAGATATCATTTTGTAAGAGGTGCAATAAAGGACAAAAGGTTTGAGTTGGAATATCTCCCAACAGAAAAAATGGTAGCGGATGTGCTAACGAAACCGCTAAGCAAATCAAAACATATATTGTGTTGGACAGGAATGGGGCTGCAGGAGATAGAAAAATAAATCGTTAATGTAATGTATGCGTTGAGGGGGGTGTGTTGAGATTAGTCAACGCATAACAGTGTGTATGTGTGCATGTATGTACAAGTACGATAATATGTGAAACGGGATAGTGTGCCACGTGCTGTATGTATAAAGGAATTTATAACAGGCTAAATATATATATATGTGTGTAATTGCACTAATTGGATTATTATTGATTCCTGTAACTAAGCATATAGGAAATATCTGCTGTTCTTCTGCTCTAACTTTAACAAATCACAATGACCAAAACCAAAAATAATGTACCTACAAAAGATAACCATAAGCCGCAAGCTAGTTGGTAACCAATCGCAGCACCAAAGATATTACCAGCAATAAATATTCCATTTATCAAACAATAATACTCGGCCGCTCACTCCGTAACGGCTATCCACAGACAAATTATCTGCCGCGCAGTAGTTACCTACCACGTGCCAGTTACCTGTTACACAGTTACCGACTGCAGAACTGTCCATCGTGCTGCCGCGCAATCCTTACCGCAAGGAAACCATACTTACCATCAGACATACCATCAAGGATAAGTCTGGTATACAATACTATAAACGAAAAGATAATTATACTAAAATCAAAGGGATCACAGATAAACTTCCAGACGGCCCAACATCAGGAATTAATTAATTAATATATAAAGAAATAAGTCAATATTATGATTAAAAATATATTACATATATAAAACATCATATAAGTTTGTGTTACGTCCGGAAAATTTTGCAAATTTGTCCGCCTCACGTTCCCTTATCAAGCCTTCGGGTTATAGGAGTCTCCTCATGTAAGGGGCGTGGGGAGGGCAAATTACTACTGCACCCTTCTTTAATTTCTCCTTGACTCTGTGCTTTCCCATCAAGCCTTCGGGTTGTAAGAGACTTCTTCATGTGGGAAATGCGCAGGGAAAAGTTTGAGCTTATAATTATTCTACTTTTGTCTTTCCTATTCTTTCATTCTTCTCATACTTCTCAATTCTCTTCTTAGTCGAAACCCCTCCTTGAAACTATCGTCGTGCTCAACTGCGTAGTAACAGAAACGTGTGATAGGAAAACTCGGCTTCGATCGAGGAGAAGTGTCATAAACACCGTTCGCGGTGCGGTTAGCCAGTGCTTCGCATTGTAGGGGTCTCCTCGGGCTAACTGCGCAAAAGCGCAAAGATTACGTTATTATCGAGATTAACATCGATACTCTCCTCTTTTTCACGCGTGGGCGCCAGTCGGTCCCTAACCCGATCGCGTGTATGAATTGATTGCTGGAATGAGAACGCAAAGCAATGAAGCTCGTTGAATATTTGTATGAATGCGAGAGCGAGGAATGAAAACCCTTGCAGGCAAACGTTAGCATGCGTTCGAGGACTGTTTAGAGGCAAAGGGTCGTGCGAGGCAATAAAAGTCTTTGTATCGAATTCCGAGAATTTGCCTGAAACCGAAAACCTAACGGTAATTTTCGATTGGCGAGAACGTTCTCGAAGCAACTACGTCGCAACTGAAATAACGAATGTTCGATTAATAATGGAAACCTGTCGTTATTGAAAAATAGCAATCGAACACCGAATGCCTTATATCGAGCGTACCGGCGCAATCCATATTGTTGATCGAGTTCTCTGCGAACAAATGATTGTGAACAAGCCGATTGTTAATTAAGAAACCACGTGATCATCGGTTTCATTATCCGTGCGCAATGGTACTACGAATGATTCAATTATTTGCAAATTCATTGCTCAATAATTCTGATTCAATTTACTAGTCGATAATCGCTTCAATTACTATCTAATATCCAAATTATTAAAACATGGAACAATCCAGAAATTCTACGGCGTAGAAACACCGAAAAGCCGTTAGACAGAGAGGGAACACCAAGAAAGAGAGAAAACATGATCTAGAGGAATTTAGCTGGCACGCGCGCTTAACCAATAGCGACGCACGCGACGCTGTCGTCACGCGCTATGATTTGCCGAAATGTCCCCACGCAGGACATCGTCCTCGCGACGGGCCCTTCCGGCTAGGATCGCGATCGATTCTGATCACTCTTCGTCGAACAATCTAGTAAGTCGGGACGGGAGCCCGTGCGTCTAGAGATAGAGTTGTCGTTCGTACTTCGTTGTAATTTACCTGCGCGGCAAGACCTACGGATTAGGCAGAGTGTCGTGAGAGTGAAATTCCGGATACGCGGCAAGAACTCAGAGACGCGCACGTAAAGCCATTTCACACTATTAAACCTCTATCTTTTCTCTTTCTTTTAATCCGTTGTTCGCGTAATTTTCGTATTAAATTCACTCGCGTTTATTATTATATTATTCCGAAGAGCGTAATCGTCTTGTGTTCGTCTAATTAATTTTGCAACAAACGACAAACGGGCGCGCGACAAGTGAAGTGCCGCCGCAGATCTCTCAACCTTTCTTGGTGTTCCAGATTAACCAGCGATTATTCAGCGATAACATAGCGATCTCAGAGCGATTTTTCATCTTGTATTGCATTCTACAATTTCACGGTAAGCCTGTTCTGTACTAATTTGTCGAGCACGGCATTAGCATTCAATTTAGACACGGCAAAACGGGCGATCTATTAAGCCTACGGGTTATAAGAGTGTCTTCATTTTAGATCGTCTCGTTTCCACAGTCAGGTACCGATTATATTATTTTTCGCTATTTTAATATTCCGTATTTTTCAATCATCGCGAATGTGTGTGGGTAACGATTGTTTCGACTGCGAGATATTTTATCAGGGACGACCCGTAAGGCCCTTTCGGGGGTTATAAGAGTCTCTTCATGCAGGTCGTTTCCTTGCGGATAGAAACCGCCTAAAATTCGATTCTTCATTATATCAGGTCGAGGCAGTCGTCCTACGTTAACCATATATTTTTCACATCTCAAATACGTGTAATAATTACAATAGAAGCTCTCATTGTAAACCAAAGGTTAGACATTTTTCGATTTTCATTTATATTATTAACGTAATAGGTTAAGCATCTTTACCCTTGTTTAAACAGTATTGTTATCAATTGAATTTACTTAACAGTGATTAACAGAAATCTAATAGAATCATTTTAGTATTCAAACAATTAGTCATTTCAAAATTCAGTTCTGTTAGCTTCGATAGTTATTTTTGAATTAAATTACTTTCTTTTTGCACACTAAATTGCATTCACATTTCTTTCAAGTTCCATTTGTATCATTTCCTTTTTCATTTTACATTTCAAATCCACGCATACCAACACAAGGTTTCAAGGAGGGACCCGTATGGGACCCAGAGCGCTGACGAACCCAACGGAAATAAATATTATCTAAATTTTCCGTCTTTTAATTTCGTTCTCACCGTAGAGGACGCTTCCGCGTCATACGCGGTCAGAACTGGTGGCAGCGATACCTTTCTCATCGCCCAAAAATAAGAATTATTATATATACTATTACATTAATTTTACGTTGCGCGCTCACGCAACGCGCAACGTAACAATCCCTACAGTGAGACCGGTCGCAAACATGCATAATAGCCATGAGAGTGACAAAAGGCACACCTCATAATAAAGCATAGCCAGTCGACTGCAGTATTGAAACATTCATAGAAACAATCATTGAAACCGCAGAAACTTCACACCATGCCAACAAACACAGGGTATTGTAGAGAATTGCAAGTTTCACAAAACTCAAACAGTACAAAAAAGGAAAGTAAACTAACAATTCAAGAGAACATTAATGAATGAATGAATGAATGAATAAAGGAAGAGAGAAACAACAGAATACCAGCAAGTATGAGTAAGGTAAAGTAGAATAAGCCATAGAAAGCTCAAATTCAGAGATGTGGTGACGGATGACAAATTATTTACAAAGACATAACCCCAATATGTCAGAGCCACAAAGTGTCAAAACCAGCATGCAAGGACTAGTTGAAAGGAACAGATTATCAATTAAGATAGCTGAATTGCAACTCAAAAGGAAGGAAAGAAAAGAAAAAAGAAAGGAAAGGAAACAAGGTAAGGTAATTGCAATAACATACTATAAAATAACAGGAATAGCCCATCCTGATGACATGAATATTAAATTCTACAGAAACAACACACCGTCACACCATCATGAGAGAGCTATACCATTACCAGAGAAAGACGTCATGAATAAATTGAATTAAAGAATATCAAAGAAGAATATGAAAATGTACAATGAATACCTAAGGATATACAGGCGACAAACCCGGAATCAAGAAGTCAAAAGGCGATAATGAAATAAAATAGATAGCGATAACAGCGATAACAGTGATAACGTGCACAATAAAATAAAATATAAGATAACTAAATGGAAGCAACCATAAATATATAAACATATTAATATTAATATCATCTACAACTATTTGTACCATCATGAATATCAAAATAAGCTAAATCATATCAATTACTTTAATTCAATTTGATTAAGAATGACTGAAAGAATGAGCGACAGAACAGTGAAGTAATTAATTAAAGATATTAAAGAAGAATGAGATAAATAATAAGGCATAAAGTAAAAAGTGAAAGCCGTAACCAACAACATAATGTAAAAGAATGTAATGTAATGCAATGTAATGTAGTGTAGTGTGGTGTGGTGTGGTGTGGTGTGGTGTAATGTAATGTAATGTAAAGAAAATGAAAAAATAATAAAATAAAATACCAAATACAGGAATTGAACTAAACAGAATATACTGTAACCGCAAAAATTATTATCCACAATTACTCCATTTCTTAATCAAAGTAGATTATTAGCTAAATCATAAATAGTAAATGATAAATGATCATGTCAATGCAAATGCAAAAAGAACCAATTATTGAATGAGAACCGATTATTGAATGACGTATCAAGATAGATAACTAAAGTAACAAAATCAAATCAAGCATTAACTACGTAGTTCGAATAGAAACTAAAAACTAGAAACTGATTACCAAATGAAGTACCAGGATAGAATGAATAAAAGCAACAAAATCAAATCAAATATACACTACGTAGCTAAATTAAACACCACACTACTGTATAGTTGAACAACAAGTAAGCAAGTCTGATATTTAATAGCCAAACCAGTATCAATCAGTTATAAATAGACATTTGAACAGACAAAACCATTCATTATTACAGAAAGAACGATAAATCAATAATCAAATCCATTGACCTTAATTAATCAAAGTGAAAATGAATAAATAGTGAATAAATACTGAACGCGAGCAAAACAGTTGAAGAAATTAAGAAAAAGAAATTAAAAAAATTAAGAAAATAAAGAAAATGTAAAGTGTACAGTGTAATGTGTACGCAAATATAACCAGCACAATATACTGTGATATAAAACAAAATAAAAATAGAATAAGATACAGTGAAGATACAGTGAAGTGAATTCCAACAATGTAACCATAGATATGCATAGATAATATAAACCATAGAATAGACAAATTCAGAGATGCGGGTAAGAATTTACAGAGATATAACCTTAACCCTAATGTGTCAAAACAAGGAGTGTCAACAGGAAACAAGACCAATGTAAGAAGACTCGTTAAGAATAAGAACAAGAACAAGATTAATTAAGAAAGCCTAATTGTCAACTAAATGAAAAGAAAGAAACAAACAAGGTAAGATAATAATTGTAATAACGCACAATAAAATAAACAAGAATAGCACAACTTAATGACATGCATATTAAATTCCTACAGAAACACCGCAATATAGCACCATCATGAAAAGGACTATGCCAACACCTCAGAGGTGTCATGAATAAATTAAATTAAATTAGATTAGAGAATATCAAAGAATATTCAAATATCCAAGGTCGCATAACAGGTGACAAGACAGAATGCAGCAATAATACAGTAGTGACAAGCGTGGCACAAGTTTAAATATAGTAAGTAGAAGCAAAAGCAGACAGCAATAAAGAAATATAATAAAAGAATGCGAGGAAGTGTATCACAAGAGAAAATAACAAGGAAGAAAGAAAACAAGAAGGAAAAAACAGGGCCAATATCGAATAACAGTAAAATCAAGAGTAACGCATGTAAGGAACATAACAAAAGAAGCAATGTATAAATAAATAAATAAATAAAACCAATGCACTGTGTAAATGCTGAAATTATTAATAACAAAAACCATGCACCTTTACAACCTTAATCATATTGAAAAGGAACAGGCAAAATATAGTATCAGCATAGACGAACTTAATTGAAATTGTTACGTCCCGGCGGAAAATTTGAAATTTATCCGCCTTGCGTCCCTTATCAAGCCCTTTTGGGTTACGAGATTTTCTCATGTAAGGGGCGTATGGGCGGGTGTTTCGGTTTTCCGCCAACCTTTTCATTCCGCCTCAACCTTGTACATTCTTGTCAAGCCTTTCGAGGTTACGAGAATTTCTCATGCAGGGATGTACAGGGAAGAGTTTGAGTTTAATTCCTTTCTATTTTTGACTTCCTCTATCGCTTTCTCTTCTTTACCTGCTCTACCCTGGAATCGTGTATCTCGTCAAGCTCTTTCGAGGGTTACGAGAATTCCTCATGCGAGGTACACGCGGAAAGGTCGTTCCTATTTTCTACTTTTCAATAGTTTACGTGACCCTCCTTGAAACTATCGTCGCCAGCCATTGTAATAAGAAGCTAATACGCACAAAAACTCGGGTTAGCTCGAGTGAGAGAGAGAGAGAGAGCCGTAGCAATAACACCAGCGCTACGCAGTTAGCCAGTGCTTCGCATTTCGGGAATTTCCCTTGGTAACTGCGTAGAAACGGGAAAATCGTAATAACTCTTTTGTTAGGAACCTCTTTCTCACTCTGTTGCACAAAGCGTCAGCCGGTCCAACAAGGATCATCGCTACCTGATTGTAATAATAGTATGAGAGAGAGGATGGATGAAACAAATTTAAACAATGAAAGTAAGAATTGAGAACCCTTACGAAAGCGAACGTCGCGAACGTTCGACCGCCGTTCGAAAATCAAGGGTCGTTCGAAGCAATAAACGCTATTGTATCGGAATTCTAAGAACTGCCTAGCGATAACGGCAAATTTTGAACAAAGGAACGTTCTCGAAGGAACGTTCGCCAGATCTAGAATTGTTTAAAATTTATAAAATGCGAAATACCGAATATATCGAGGCGATAGTTTTAATGCGCGATAGATTGCATAATACGCCACGGCGTTACAACCACCGTAAGCGCATCATCCGCTGTTAAACATATAAAATCATACTGTTTTATTGCAAATCGGGATGAATAATTTCAATCACGATATACGAACGACGGTTTCCTATCAAACCCGATATTTCAATTTTAATCTATATTTCAATATCAAATCTCAAATTGCACACCAATTAAACTAATAGTTACATCTCGAATAAATGCCGTTAATTAATTATATGTATAACGAGAAATACTGCGTAGTTTCTGAAAACCGTTGAAACTATCATGGCGACGAATGAGAAAAGGAAGGAACACCAAAGAAAGGGGATGAAAGATCTTCGTCTAGCTCGCGCGTCTTAGCCAATCACCGGGCACGCGACACTTCCGAAAACGGGCTACGATTCGCCAAACCGTCCCCTCCAAGGACGATGTTCGCGCGACGGGCCCTTCGGCCGTCGATCGCGCACGAAATTTGTCACTCTTGATCGATCAATCGTAAGTACGTGATCGGGAGCCCGTGTGTCCGAGAGACAGAGTTATTCGAAAATTCGCGATATTTTCTCTGCGGTAAAGTCCTCCGCGTAGCGAGGCAGAGTGCCGTGCGAGTTAAAATAATCGGTATTCTGAATAAGGACTCATAGACGAGCACGAAAAATCTTCCTTCTACCTAAATTTCTATCTTTTCTTTCCGATTTTAAATCGTTTGCTCGCGTAGTTTCTCGTATTAACTTCACACCGCGTAATTATATTCGTTGTAATCGTAATTAATCGTAAGTCGTTATTCGTTTGTCTCTCGTCGACGTACTCGTCCGCTTCAATTCGTTCTCGCCGCGACAAGTGCAGTGATCGACGATCTTACCGTTTCTTTGGTGTTCCAGATCATCGAGCGATTACACCAAAACTAGCAAGCGAATTACCTTGTATTTTATTGTACACCTTAACGGTAAGTCGTTTCAGTTACATTTTTCGATCACGACGTTATTCAATTGGCAAAACGGGCGATCTGGTCCAGCCCTTCAGGGTTACGAGAATTCCTCAGGTCAGATCGTTCCACCGTACGAGATATTGATATCATCCAATATTAAATACTATTTTCGATTATTACAATTTTGCAATTCCAGTTTCTTTCCATCATCCGAAGGGCACCTTAGTCCAGCTCCTTCGGGAGTTCCGAGAATTTCTCAGGCTGGGGTGTACCGCAGGCGGAAACCGCCAATCGTATAGTTAAATTCGGAGAGCGAAATTGTTATAATCATTTTTACGCGCCCGGTAATATACTCGTCGGTTTCAAATGTGATATCAGAGTGTTTTATATTCATATATATATACATATACCTTGTTAACTAATCTTAAGCATCTTTACATTTGTTCACATTTTTGCAGAACTGGTAATTTTCAATTTAACCAAATTTCTAAATTATTGAACTCATAATTTTGGCCATTATCTGATTTTCATTCACGATTAAACCAGTTTCATTTAGTTAAACAGTTCCTTTTATTTCGAACACACCTCACACGTTTCAGTTAAACACGCCTACCAACATACCCAGATTCAAGGAGGGTCCCGTACGGGACCAAGCGCTGAACGAACCCAACGAAAGGCTAATAATTATAATCTTTTAATATCTTATCAATTTTGTCTTTCGTCTTTTAATTTGTCGAGAGCGTTAACACGCTCGAGACTGGTGGCAGCGATACCAACCATCGCGCTAAAATAGGGAAGCAGGAATTAGGGGTTGAATTCCAACCAATTAATTGAAATTTAACTACCTATAAATCCACTAATATTCCTTCCTTTTTACGTTGCGCGCCGTCGCTCGGGCGCAACGTAACAAAATTTTGGTGGCAGCGGTGGGATGCTCAATGCTGGCTCATTGAATCTGTGTAATTTAAGATGTTTGAAAATTTTTCGTATTTCCGTATTAATCACTTTTACAATCTCTGAAATCACAATTGAGGCAAAACCGGGACATTATAGATACCCCCTTTTGCCAGACTTGCCGCACTGCGAAAGTGAATTATTATTTGTGTAATTTGTGAAATTATTATTTATATCATATTTATATACATATATGTGTGTTGCGATAATTGTTCATCCAAAGTGAATTTAAATTTCCAAATATCTGGTTCGAGTCAAAATTATTTGTTATTTATTTATTTATTTATTCATTCAATTATTTATTCATCTATTTAATTATTTATTTAATTATATTTAATTTATTTTGTGTTTTGTCGAAATTTCTGTTTCATTGAAATTAATTCTGATATATTTTCTGATATATTGAACAATTATCGCCAAATTTTCGATTTTTCCCGTATTCTGATATTTTTGATATTTTTGATTTTGGTCTATTTGATTTGAATACTGGTTGTTATATTCTATATTTTGTGTTTGGTGTCTTTACATATATTTGAATTTGAATCCGTATACATTTTTCGCGTATTAAAATTTTCAAAATGCAAAATCCGATTGACGCTGGCGAAGGCCCGAGCGGAGAGAGACCGCGATCGCCCGAGAACGCCGGTGAATTATCTGATACCTGGCGAGATACCCGAAATGTCGGTTTTGAAACGCGTAAAAACGATGATCGCGACCACGGCGATTTATCCACTATGGTTATGGAAAGCTTTGCCGTGCAACAAGCCGCCCACCACGTTCCGATTTTTGATGGACGGAATATCCGTCTCCGGGACTTTATAAGCGAAATACAATACCATTACGATAGTCTACCACCTACGGGAAGAAGAACTTTCCTTCGACTCGTAATTTCGCGTCTAAGGGGGGAGGCGCGCGACAGCGTTGACGGTCTACGTTTTCTCACCATAGGAGAATTAGTCCGGCACTTAAAATATCGTTTCACGCCGGAGAAAACGTTCAATGACTATTATCGACAATTAACCGAAATACGCATGCGACGCGACGAGTCGGTATTTGCGTTCCACGACCGAATAAGAGCAGTGTTAACGGGTATCGAAGATGTGCTCAGAAGGGATTACGGGTCAGAGGCTACTGGGATGATTAAGCCGGTAAAATTGACCGCGATAGATGCGTTCATCTATGGATTGCCCGATGAACTTGCGAGAGCGGTTGAAGCGCGCAATCCGAAAACACTAAAGGACGCGGTAGAAGTCGCCGTTCAGGTAGAAAATCGTCAAAGGCAACGTCCGTTAGCATCGCGGGATTATTACTATCGTCCAGCTTATGAGTCGCGTAGAGAACATTACGATGACTATCGACCGCGATATCAGAGTCCGGATCGTGATAGATCGTACCCTCCGCGATATAACAGCTTTTCACCATCTAGACGTGAGCAACCGCCGGAGCGCACGAATTTCGGATCTCCGATCAGAGACGCAGGTAGAACGCGGGAATTTCGACCATCGAGCCCGATACGAACTTTCCGGGCAGATTCGGCAGTTAGAAGGGCTCCGCACTATTGTCCAGACTGTCGCTGTGGAGAAAGATCGCCCACAAGGCGCGAATCTCCAGAACCGCGTTCGCGTAATGATTATCGTAGACCGCGTACACCACCGTTGGAGGAACCGGTACCCGGTCCCTCGCGTGAACGGCTAAGATCGCCGTCACCAGATCCACGCGGTAATTTAAACTTAGATGCGACTCGCCGGACGGACGCGACGACGAGCCTAAACCCGCAGGAGCGTCAACCCAAGGTTCAGTTTCAAAAGAGACGGTTCTTGCAATAGAAGCAAAGCGTGCCACGCCAATCGTGAAAATTCCTTCAGATGATTTAGAACCGGGAACCGCGCTATTTCTTGTAGACACCGGCGCGGAAATAAATCTAATTAAATTAAATCTTTTGAGAGCCGACTTACCCATCGCGACTCACGAAGCGACGATTATTTCAGGCATAACGCCGCAAAAAGATCGTACAATCGGCACAACGACCCTGCACGTGCAAGGGCAGCCTGTTCGCTTCCACGTAG